GCATGTAAACAGAGATTCTCCATTCAGATTGTTGAGCAGAGTGAGAGTATAAACACCTCAGTCTTAATCTATAATCAGAATGTATTCAATCAGATTGGCAAACATCTTTGCATGTAAACACAGCCACTGGTTTATACATCTCAGGTTGAGTTTCAGGAGTGTTCAGCCTTGGCACTGGGCCAGCAAATACGGATTCCTTTCTAGCTTTGCAGACAATGCTAAGAATTCATCTTCAGGGAGGGAAAAAAGAAACAACCTCCGCCCTGTTTCACAGCATAAAAGATATCCTACAGATAAATGATTCTTTGATGTGCTGGTCATTTATTGCTCCTCCTTGTCTGATCTGTCTCTCTGCTCCCACCTTTCTCCCCTCTAACGATGTTACTCAGTCAGCAGAGTGACACTCACTGTTTCCTGTTTAATTCAATAATTCAGAAAAACAGCCCGTATTATTTCCGTAAAAATACATAAAATACAAAAATACATGAAGGTGGTGCCTGAGCCTCGCACGCCGACAGCAGGAAAATGACCACAGGCATTAGAAGCATAACTGACAGCATCCGAGTCCTGAGACTCGGACCCCACCTCCTGTGCTGCAGTGAGGCCACTAGACTATGCTTGACATTCGATCATGGTGGGCGATCTGCAAAGTGGGGGTGGTGACTGGGAGACGGAGCAATGAGCTCTCTTTCCCTCTCGGCTCAGGTGCAAGCACTGCCCGGTAATGAGAACCAGCTGATCTGGTTAAGCTTTGACAGCGTGGGCACCTTTTACAAAATGCAGAGAGGGAAAACAGAGAGTAAGACAGGGACGAGCAGCAGCAACAAGAAAAGGACTACTGAACCGAAAAGCTTGCATGTGAGAAACAGGACTGCAAAGTCTCGTTCAGAAGCCACTAAAAAGTTTGGGTTTTGTGAGTGAAAATAAAAAGAAAATACTTGCTGCCTCCAACGTTCTTCCTCCTCCAAGGGTAGCACACAATACATCAACATGATGTTAGCCTTGCAACTTCAGTGATACACTAAAGAAGCAATATTTCACTGCTGTCGGAAGAAAAACCTCGTATCTCCATTTTTCACTTTCTGATATAATTTGAAAATACCTGTTGTCCTTTATATTGTGTGTAAATTTCATGATGAATGGCCCAAAATGACTTGGAAAAAAGTTTGACTCCATTGACTTACATTAAAAGTAAAGTAGGTTTTTTCCTTCTCCTGTAAAGTTCTCATTTTGGAGACACAAGGTTTTCTTCTGACAACAGCAATTTGCTCAAAAGGAGAGCCCATCCCACTCCGGGCTGCACAGGATAGTGCAGGGGTGTCCAGCCCTGATCCTGGAGATCTACCACCCTGTAGAGTTCAGGTCAACCACGGTTGATGCCTCTTTGTTGCCCCAGAAAACCTTCACTATTTGGATCAGGTGTGTTAGATTAGGGCTGGAACTAAACTCTGCAGGGTAGTGGATCTCCAGGACCAGGAATGGGCACTTCTGGGATAGTGTAATCACTGGTTAATGCAGTGCCAATAGTTGTTTCACATAAATTAACCCTTAGGACCCAGAGACCGCAAACGATCGGGGTAAAACGATGAATTCTAGTCTTCATAACTTCAGAACGGTTTAAGCTACAGACGTAATACACATATCAGGACATTCAGCAGACCCGCCCCTAACTAATTATTCTCACGTCATCGAGCTGTGACATCAGCATCAGTGAGTAATTCGGCTCGGAAAATCACTCAAAATCCTGATATTATTGCTCTGCTTTCTGCCCTTCATATTCCAAGAAAGGGTTAAAACAGCAACATGATTCACACATCAGATCAGTCATCAGACTCTGATCTCACCATCCAGAGTGATTTCATCTACCTGTTACCATCCATCAGCCAGCAATCCAGCTCCAAAATCACCCATAACCCACTCGCTACTGTTATACTACATCTCTGCTTTTAGCCTTCGTATTATAAACAAAGGGCTAAAAACAGCAACATGATTCACACCAGAACACTCAGAGGAACCTGCCATCACTGGGCAGAGTGAGAGAAACCAGCTCTAACATCCCACAACCCAGAAATACAGCACAAACACACAGCCAGATCACTGTAAAACCTGCTACTAGCTCTGTGCTTTAGCCTTCATTTGGCAGCAAAAGTGTTAATTGCATTGGCCAGACCTGGCCCTGGATCTTCATTTTAACAAATATAGATTCAAGGTTTTGTGGTATCCTTTTACATTACTGACATCCCCGTAGTCAACAGCTGACAAATGCTGACTTCTGTAGCTGCCAAATATTAAACAAGCTCTATTTCTGCTCAAGAATCCGGGCCTAATTCTCGTTTTTGGTTAGTCTTTCCACATGTTTTACTGACAGCTTATCATCAGTCCACATGCTCAAATATTTATAAGAAGTGTAGAGGTGTGAGGGGTGGAGTGCTATAATCACCCCGACTGAGGAGCCACAGGTGCACCTCACTGGGGAACTGGGTCAGTCCTGTCAGCCTGTTCCAACATGTGTTTAAAAGAACCAGTGAACGGCTGCCAAAGCAGATAAAGCCAGACTAGTAAAACACAGACTTCTGCTACAGTTCTCTTACGTAAGTAAATTCTAGTCAAGGTTTTACAACCTTTTGCAGAGCTTTTAGCTTTTTTGCATAACGACAGGGATGCAGTCAATGATAATCTGTATTGCTGATTAATTTAAAGAGTTTTATTCAACTAATCAATGAATTGACCAATATAACACTTATGCCTTCTGGTTTCTTTCCCTTTGCAACATACGTCTTTTAAAGTTTTGCTGGTGTGACCATAGATATACATACCTAGATGCCGTGTTGGGTCCAGACAGGCACGTCAACAGCGCTGCCATTTTGGGGTGGTCAACATCGCTGCTGGACTGCATTCAGTACCATTACAGAGCAGCAGTTTAAGAAAGATACTGTCCAAAATTAGACTATTTCAAGAATATTGTACTCAGACAGTGGGATAGGATTATATAACGGAGGGAACGCAGAGATCCACACTCATGTCTGTGTGATGCGTATTGTCTGTGTGATGTTTATGTAGATATGGCCGTGTGGTTGGTGAAGCACAGAGAACCTGTTGATGTGATTGTTTTTCTCAGGTTTTATATTAAGCTGATTTCATTTAATAGTATATTCAGGGGGTCTTAACTTTATATAGAAGTCAGCTTCTTATTTGGCAGCTTCTTGTTTGAGTTTTCCTGTTCCACCTTAACCGTTGCAGCTTCAGGCACCAGAAAGTGACTGCTGCACCATTTAAGGTGGAACGGGGAAAACCCGAACAAGAAGCTGGCGAATAGGAAGCCAAGTTCAGCTTCGTCCTTCTTACTGTGTTTTGGGGGTTTATTTTATTTTCATGTGTATTAAGATTAGAAGTGATTCACTCATTGAGGGATTTGCTGATGTGTCTGATTGAACTCTTTTTTTAACGTCAGGTGCAGATTAAATACTTTCCTGCAGGTCCGGACGGCTAATTAGCACAATCAGTTATTAAAGAAATAAAAGCTACTGAGAGCCGTCAGTGCAACCTAGAATAATCTGTGTCTGAGGATTATAACAAAACTAATTTGGTGAAAATCGGTTGAGTAATAAGGAAGTTGTGGCTGATTTAATCCTGGGACTCCTCGTCTCTCAATACAAGTGAAATTGTTCACAAGCGGATCTTGACCTCTCCAACATGGCGGACGCGCAGATGTATCGCCTCACATAGAGAACAACAGACAACACAGCAATTAGGTATGTATATCTATGGGTGTGAAAGAACTAGAAGAAGCCATCTCGCCCCCTAAGCTTACTGCAGTGTACTGCAATCTGTCAGAATGACCAAATGTGTCATATGAACTTTTTTTTATTAAAGCAGCACTGCCTAAAATTTTATTGTTAATAATGAAATAAGTAGTACTACTAAGTATGCTATAATATGCTAAAATATGGTGTAATTGCATGCACAACCAAATCTTAGGACGAAAGAAGGTCCAGCTGGATGGCCAGGATGCCCAAGAACCACAGTGTTACACAAACTCACAGTGCTGGTATGAATGACAGGAGATAACACCATCACCACACACATGAAGGATAAAAGGTAGGGATGCCATTGTTATACTAATGAGTCTTGCAGACAGACTATTAATGACTACATTCACTGTTGTAAGATGCTTGTAAAACATAGAGGATGCTTTGAAATAGAAGCCTCAGCTGCTCAGCTTAATTTACTTGAGGTGCGCAGCACCACAGATGCAAAAAATGTGCTGCAGCTTGCTTGCAATTACATATTTTTACTGGAGAGGTCTCCAAAACTTACATAGTGGTGCCTAAAATGGCCCATATTCTGGATGTTTGTGTTGATTTATTTTCCAAATAGAACTGTCCATGAGTATTTTTCAATCTCACTTTATCCTTTAGAACTAAACAGGATGTCTTTAAGCTTTTTGTGCGGGCCCCCTAGTGGCCATTTCACCGGTGGAATGGAAATCGGAAACTTTTAATTATTATAATAAAATAACATTTTTTGCTATAATTCTGTTACCAGATTAATTAAGACACTGTTGGCTCTCTGTGAGTGAAATGTGTTGAGCTGCTAGTGAGCAATGTCTCCAAAGAGACAGCTCCTCAGAGATAAAGTGGACAGCACTGCAGCTTTCTTTATACCAAACAATCCTGTACAGCTGTCCACAATAAAAAAAAATAGCACTTGTGGAACTGGCTACTGGAATAAGGGGTTAAACCTCATATATGTAGATGATCTCTGTTCTGATTGGCTGCCCTGTATTGTGTATTGTGCCTAATTCAAAAAGCAGTCTGGGCTGAAACAAGCCTTATAACTTCAAACCTGAGTGGAAGGGGCTAATCGTCTGTAGGTTGAAAACGTGGCTATATGTAAAGTCATCGTTTTTTTGTGACATCTCTAAATAATAATGAGGACAGAAGTGATAAGAAACAAGAGAAAATGAGAAGGAAGAGGAAAAAGGGAAGAATTTTACTTACATTTGCTCCGGCTGGCATAGGATTCCCCAGATCACACACCACCACCTGGGATTCGTTTTCCACCCTGTGCTCGCAATTGAGAATCTGTAGGTCCTGAAGAAGACAGAGAGAGAGATTTACAATTTTGTCTTGTACTTCAATTAGTATACTAATTAGTATACTAATTCTTAGACCTCTTTATCAATCAGTGAGAAAGCCGATCCAGAATCTATCATCTAATCATTTCAAAAGACATGAACACTAAACAGAAATCCTAGATCAGCATAAATTGCTGTGATTTGGCTTTGTTGCTAGGTTGTCAATGTTCATTTTCCCTTAATGATATCACTTTAATGAAGTCCTATTTAGAAGGTTGGATCAAGAGAGTTAGGGTGGATAGAACTGTCACCATTAGCTGTGATATTGGGGTACCTCAGGGATCAATTTTGGGGCCTCTTTTATTTAGTCTTTCCATAAATTATCCACCCACTGTTTTTAGGTGCAAATGTGTGCAAGTAATGTCATTTAAGTGTATGTAAAGTCTAAAAAGCCAGCAGCACATGAGCAAATCTGTTTCCAAAAACATTGGCACGCTGTGCAAAATGCAAACAGAAAGCAAGGATGTGCAAATCACCAACTGCTGAAGTTTTGAAAGTGAAATGTTTTCCCACTCTTGTTTGGTATAAGATTTCAGCTGCTCAACAGTTCTAGATCTCCTTTGTCATATTGTTCATTTTATAATGCGCCAAAAGTTTTCAGTGGTCACAGGTCTGGACTGCAGGCAGGCCAGTTTAGCACCCTAACTTTTTTTACTATAGAGCCATGCTGTTGTAATATGTACAGAATGTGGTTTGACATTGTCTTGCTGAAATAATCAAGGCCTTCCATAAAAAAGATGTCTGTATGGCAACATATGTTGCTCAAAAACCTTTGTGTATCAATCAGCATTAATGGTGCCTTCTCAGATGTGCAAGTCACCCCTGCCATGCGCACTAATGCACCCCTATACCATCATGAATACTGGCTTTTTAACTGTGCACTGATAACAAGCAGGGCGCTCTTTACCCTGGAGGACACAGTGCCCATGATTCAAGAATTTCAAATGTTGACTCATCAGACCACAGGACACTATTTCCGCTTTGTCTCAGTCCATTTTAAATTAGCTTTGGGCCCAGAGAAGGTGGCAGCGTTTCTGGATCCTGTTTATATCTGGTTTCTTCTTTGCATGGTTGAGTTTTACATGCATTTGCGAATGTAGCAACAAACTGTGTTCACAGACGGTGGTTTTAGGAAGTGTTCCTGAGCTCACGCAGTGATTTCCACTACAGAATCATGCCTGTTTTTAACGCAGTGCCGCCAGAGGGTCCCGAAGTTTACGGCCATCCATTACTGGTTTTTCGGCCTTGTCCCTTGCATACAGAGATTTCTCCAGATTCTCTGACACACGTAATGATATTATGTACTGTAGATGATGGAACTCCAAAGTTCTTTGCCTTTTTATGTTGAGAAATGTTATTCTTCAATTGTTGCATTATTTGCTTGCAATGTTTACTGGCACATTTACAGAAATGTTCAATAATGTGTTCTGTCCCTGCAAATTTAAATTGAATAAACTAAACTTAACTAAACAGTCATCAAAACAAACAGCTCTATTTAAAGCTAGAGATAAGGGGCTTTGTGGCATAAGGCAAAGAAATGTGGGAGTAGGGAGAGAGAGAGAGAGAGAGAGAGAGAGAGAGAGAGAAAGAAATGATGAATTGACGAATGGTAATAACACCATATATCACTGAGGCCCCCTGTCCTGTCATCTCTTTCCCACTCTCCCCGTCATCCCTCTCTCTCTTCCTCTGCATCTCTCTCCATACATCTCCATGCCTGGCAACTGTTTCCTCTCGACCCAAACACATGAGTGGGCCGGTTCCCAGGGGACGCGGGCTGATGGAGCCACGTTAATCACATTAGGAGCCACTCTACAACACGTGCTGCAATTAGAAAGGCCCACGTCTGCTAAACCAATAACAGAGCGAAAGAGAGAGAGAGCGAGATTGTAATCTTAGCGGTCAGTCCGGAGTGCTGGCTGTTTCACACACATGCATGTTAGACAAAAAAATTGCTGAAAATAAGGACCTTGAAGTACATGAGTGTGCCTCGACGCGCAGTACACTGGGGGTTAATGAGGAACTTTGGCAGTAATTAGATCAACATTCCAGCTTTATTACTGCATCAAAGGCCCAGCGGCAGCCCAGCTTGTGTTCCAGCAGAGGAGGATGACAGGCTGTAAAATGTAGTGCGTTTGGGGAGATGCAACAAGCTTGATGGTTCATCAGTTCTGACCTCTGCTCACAAACAACATCATACGCTTAAAGAGTAGTTTGATGAAAAAAAAAATATTTTGCACAGTTTCTCATTATCAAATGTAATCGATAAGCCAAAACTACCGACAAAAACCAGACTCCAACGTGGCTGCTAATGGGTCATTCTACAGAAATGTCCACTTTTTTATCTATCCATATGAGTCACTGGTGTTACCAATAGTCTTGTCTTTCTTGTGTTGCACATAAGAAAGGTGACACCAGAGACATTTTAATGAAAAATGCATTTTACAAAATGGCTGCTACAGAGCATCAAACCACATGTTGTCAATCATGGAATATCCACTAAAATATGAAATTTAATCCATTTGTATTCTATTTTTTCACAATTACCTAAGAATAAAGTCGGTCACGCCAGTGACTTCGGCTAAAAGCTTCATATGAAATCATGAGCTAAATGAGAGAATCTCTGATAACTGAAAGACACAGTGGACTCACCATGTGCTTTTCTTCATAGATCTTTAGAAAATAGATAAAAGGAAGTCAAGTGATGTCATCAGTGTGGTTTTTATTTCAAAATAAGAGATTTTTTGTTATGCAGTAACACCAGTGACATGACATTATGTCATTTAATTAATATATTTCATAGTCATGTATAGATTATTGCAGTTAAAACTGCAGAAAAAACACGTTTTATTACCTCAAAATATGGCCTCAGCCTTTACACATGACTGTGGGGACGAGCTCTTCTGTGGTGTTTGGAATTCTAGATAATTGATTAAATAAACAATATTGCTAAATTGAGGCTCAAAAAGGTGTAATTGTTAAAATAACTTACTGTTTTATTTTAAAATATTAATAAATTGTAACCCTAACATGTTTCATCAAGTGTAACATATCTGTAAATGCTAGGGACACAAAAATGGACGCTTCCATAGAATGACTCTTATACTGTTTTTAGCTACGCAATGTACTTTGGTACGGAGTTAGAATTCAGTTCAAGGGTTTATATGCTCTCATACAAACTTCAATAAAAAAAAATTCAATTTCAGTTCAGAATTCATTTTCACACAGTAAGATACAGATTCCAAATATTTACATTCAAATTCAGATTTTTGCATTTTACTTTGAATTTCTTACAGCAGAAATCTAACTTCATACTTTGTACATATTAATAGAAGTCATACAGTGTCAGAAATCACATAAAACAGTGTTTTCGATCACTTAACAACACTGGTGATGCAAACGTGCGATGCCTCTTTTGTACGAGTTAGAACACATAACCTGCAACAAAGCAATTTTGTAAGCTTTGGATAAGAGCGTCTGCTAAATGCCCTAAATGTAGACACAGAATTTGTAAACTGATATGGTATAACCTTCCTTTGCTTGTTAGCGACATTAGCTTCGTAGCTCCAGTCAAAATGGCCTATTGACTACATTTGTGGATAATTGTGGACATTTGATTTTTATACCAAATGATTCCTTTCTATCTATACTATTGTGTCTATAGTTCATGAAGTGCTTGGAAATGAGTAACAAAGACCCACGAGTGAACTTCTAATGGGGCTCCTCAGACAGGGAAAGTGAAACCACTGAAATGAAATTTCACAGTAAAGCTTAATCAAAATGGTCAAATCGAAAGTCAAAACAGAGCTTGTTTAAACAGAACATCAACAAGCAACAGACTTTAAGGCAGATGGGGAATTCCAGTCCAGATTCCTGCACAGTTTGGTGACTTTCCTGCTCAAACACACCTGATTCAACTCAGCAGTTATTATCAGGATTAGCACGTGTGTTTGTGCGGGGAAAACGCCAAACTAGGCCTTCAATTCCCCATCCCTGCTTTAACCAATGACCCTCAACAATTTGCCAGAATTAAGACAGTATCAAACACACAAACATGTACAGTCCTAAATGAGAACACGTCGCAAAAGGTGCCATAATGTTTGAAGGCCTTTACACACTGAGTGTGATTTACTTGTGTGATTTATTCAGATGATAATAAATTCATCTGAACACGTCAATAATTGATTTTTTCGGGTGGTGAAAATGTGACATTACTTTATTCACCCTGTGTTTCGATTTTTGGAAACTTTCGCTGGCGACTTGAACTCACTGAGCAAACACGATCCTCTCTGGTGTTGGCATGGCGACAACGAAGATGTGGATCGGCTGTGTTCCAGCAACTGGAAGCCTTTGCTTTTTCAACGTCAAGAGCATTAGAATGTCCAAAAGCAGCTCAAACGGGACTCAAAATTGACTTGAGTTTTGTGTGGAAGCACTGAACGTTTAAGCTGCTGAATGAAGCAATAAACCTCTTTAATTTACTCACTTTCTCAAAATGCCACCTTTTTCTCATTGTGTGAGGTGTTTGTCAGAATGAGTACTAAAATAGGCGGCGTTATATAAGTATAATGCAGATGCAAATATCAAGAGTAGAAAAGAATTTGTCAAGAAAAAGACATAGAATTGCAGGATTGAGTGAAGGGGGAGTGCATTATGGGAAATGCAGTCCACCCATAACACGCTTGCAATTGGGTAAAGGAGAAATGCATTATGGGTAACAAAGTTTACCTCTCGCCGGCGCTCCATACCATTGTAGTCCGCCTCTGGAGGGAGCCGCACCTGTAACTCCGCCTCATATGCTCCCTCACCGTGATTGGCTGCGTTGATGGTGAGCAGAAGTGGGTTGTCGTCGCCGATGACGAGCTCAGTGTGGTCCCTATGCGTGACGAGCAGGAATAATAACACGATTTAAGTCTGTTTGTTTCATCTAAAAAAATAATCTGCTTTTGACTGAACGTTTAAATATTTTGATTGTGTGGAACGCTAAAAGCTTTAGCAGGCCCCAAACGGGTCAGACATAAACACTGCAACAGCCGGGATGTTCTTGAATCTTGGATGGCCAAAACCTCTACAGTATACTTTCTGTGTACGTCCAGCTAAAACAAGGCCTTGTCCATACAATTTAATATATACAATTAGGATGTAAACAAGTACCAACGCACATGCAAGCACGGCGGGATGCTTCGTGCAAATCAAACAAACACAGCGGCACTCGCTTCCAGGGACACACATACATATACAACAGTGGACTCACATTTTAGCAGAGAGCTTTAGATCTGGGATGCACATGTTGTCGTCTCCGCAGTCCAACAGGATGTTTGCCTGAGGGCGAGAAGACGATAAAGAACAAATAATAAAGTCTTTATTCTGTTGTTCTTGTTTCTGTCTCCGTTTCCATATGGACGTGGTTCGTCTGTATTTTGCTCAGCATTTAGTGACCACTTCTGTTAGAACGCAATCGCTCACACACACCTGTTCTTGATGGAAAGTCATGCTGTAGTGGTCCAGTATGGGCTGTAGCTGCAGGCCGGGAAGTGGGGCCGTCTGATCCAGGCTGTAGTTCAGAGCCACACTGATAGGACTCAGCTTATCTCTAAACTCCGCTTCGTCCTACAGGCAAAGTAAAGATAAAGAGAAAGAAAGAAAAGGAAACGAAATGATTCTCGGTAAGGATTTTGGGGTCCCTTAAGTTCTGGGCCAGGGGTCGGCAACTCAAATGTTAAGAACATTTTGTCAAGTTTCAACAAAAAATCAAACCACCTTGCGAGCCACAACATTTCATGTCTATTTTATTGAAGTGACGTTTTACCATCTTGGCTGTAAATAAGTCCCAGTATGTGATAATGTACTAGTATAGGCTAAAAATACAGACTTACTCTGCTCTGCTTTAAGCTTTAGCTCAGCTGTAGCCACTTTTCTCACATCTCTGGCAGGACACTTTTCCACAAAAGTAAAAGTTTCTTGTAAAATGTCTCTCAGTGTTTGACTTCTTATGAGGCTGAAGTCAGCTACTCATTCGCGGCTTCTCATTCGAATTTTCCTGTTCCACCTTAAACGGTGCCTGAGGCACCAGAACATAGTCAACTGTTGCACCCATTTAAGGTGGAACATGAGACGGAAAATCTGAAAAAGGAGCTGGCAAATGAGAAACTGACTTCAGCCTCGCGACTTTTTAGTGTTTGACAGTTTCTCGCTGCAGATTAAACGTATCAGGAGACCAGCTGGAGAGATTATAAACGCAAATAAAGTCCATTCGTCTCCAAATTATCGATGTTCATCTTAAATCTTTCTCTTTGCCTTTTCGTTAGCTACTAGCTATGCAAGATTGTCTGCGTTGCTATGGTGACCAGTAGTCTGCATGACAACCTTCAGGGTTAAAGGGTGAATTAGCAGTTCTACATTAACTCCAGCGTTTAAGACCATTTATTGTTAAACTGTGTTGAACGATCAGCAGAGCTTTATTTTACTGTAAAGGAGGATTATTTTATTTTTACCTACAAATCTGAGCAACCAGCGTTTTGGGCGACAAGAGGCGAGAAGCCGCTGCTGGTGTGAACGCAGGGTAATATTTCTTGACCCATTCATACCAGCGTAACACACTAACACACCACTACCAAGTCAGTGTCACTGCAGTGCTGAGATCCATTCATTCATAGTGTGTTATCTTGGGACCTTTTTAGTTTTCCTCAATCTCACACCATCTTCTCCTTTTTTCCTTTTCTTTTCTGCCTCTCATCTGCCCTTCCTCACTCCTGCCTCTGATATCACTCTGAGTTCTTGGCAGGAGAAAGAAGAGTCAACAAAATGGGTTCATAAACACCTCCCTGCTGTGGAGCCAAAGACAATAAATACACAGAGCTTAATTAAGTTCACTCAGAGAGAGAGAGAGAGACAGAGAGACAGAGAGACAGAGAGAGGGAGGAAGAGAGAGACAGAGAATGAGGACAGAGTGATAAAGTGAGACTGAAAGACAAAAAGAGACAGAGAGAGAGAGAGAGAGAGACAGACAAAGAGAGAAAGACAGAGAGCGTAAGAGAGAGGCAGAGAGTGAGAGACAAAAAAGAAAGACAGACAAAGACATACAGAAAGGAAGACAGAGTGAGAGAGAGACAGAGATACAGAGAGAGAAATAGATAGATAGTGATGTAGAGACAACTGAGAGAAAGACAGAGATAAAAAAAAGATTGAGAAAGAGGCAGAGAGAGAGAAAAAGAAGAGAGAAAGAGAGAGAGAGAGAGAGAGAGAGAAAGGGAAGGATAGAGAGGCAGACAGAGAAATAGAGAGAAAGACAGATAAAAAAAGATTGAGAAAGAGGCAGAGAAAAAGACAGAGAGAAACAGAGAGAGAGAGAGGGACTGGATTGAGATTTCTAGGCTGAGGTCTGAGCTTAATCATCCACCTCCCCTACACACACACACACACACAAACACACACACACACACACAAACACACGCACACACACACACACACACACACACACACACATACACGCACACACACACACGCACACACACACACACACACACACACACACACTCACCCTTGACACTCTGGATGTGTGTCTCAGCACTGCAGTGATCTTATCCTGCTATTCCACTCTGGTTTGGCTGAATGACTATGTTCCCAAAGTTCCTATAGTTACATGAGGACGCACAACCCCCTGGTCCCCCACTTTAAGTCATTAACGTGTCCCTCTCAGAAAAGACTGAGCAGGACAGTCTGCAGTCATAGAGCTTCAATTTTCCCATCAAGAACACAAGCTGCTCGGTTTGGCCCACAGAACACTTTCTCATGGTTTTGGTCGTAGAAGTGATAGAATAAAAAGCTTTGTTTGAAAATCTGGCTTTGTGTCTACGACCTCCGCACAACGGCCATCAGAGTACTCTGTTTAGGCTTCTGTGGTTATATTTATGACACCACAAAACCATTTAACAGATTCAGCTGGAATTGTGTGATGGTAGTTACGTGTTTTCTGGGCTTTAATAGTTCAGAGGAAAACTGAAATTATTCCCTGACTGATTACATTTGAGGAAAGAGGAAAACGGTTTAAATGAAATTTAGTCTGAGCTCTTCCCCTGAAGTGGTGCAGTGCTGGGTGCTGGGAACAGCCGTGTAGTGCGGGCTATAGCTGACCCTCAGATAGATGGTGTGGTTGAGGCAGCGGCGGCGGTCCTGTTGGCCTAGGAGCAGTTGCAGGGTTCGGTGGTGCTGGTGGGAGTCGAGGAACAGAACCCGCTTCACAGCCCCCCGCTGCTTCAGCCAATCCAACTGCAGCTCCATACTCACAGCTGAGAGACAGAAGAGTAGGGTTAATAAAGAAAGAAAGAAAGAAAGAGAAAGAACAAAAGGAGCAGGTAGAAGGTATATTATCATGTTTCTACAGCTCTTCTATGGTGTCCCATTTCTGGATCAAAACACTTTGGAGCAACTCCAAAGCAATGAAACACTGAAGCAGTGAAGCAGTGAAGCAGTGAAGCATTGAAGCAGAGAAACAGTGAAGCAGTGAAACAGAGAAACAGTAAAGCAGTGAAGCAGAGAAACAGTGAAGCAGTGAAACAGAGAAGCAGAGAAACAGTAAAGCAGTGAAGCAGAGAAACAGTGAAGCAGAGAAACAGAGAAACAGTAAAGCAGTGAAGCAGAGAAACAGTGAAGCAGAGAAACAGAGAAGCAGAGAAACAGTAAAGCAGTGAAGCAGAGAAACAGTAAAGCAGTGAAGCAGAGAAACAGTAAAGCAGTGAAGCAGAGAAACAGTGAAGCAGAGAAACAGAGAAGCAGAGAAACAGTAAAGCAGTGAAGCAGAGAAACAGTAAAGCAGTGAAACAGAGAAACAGTAAAGCAGTGAAGCAGAGAAACAGTGAAGCAGTGAAACAGAGAAACAGTAAAGCAGTGAAGCAGAGAAACAGTGAAGCAGAGAAACAGAGAAGCAGAGAAACAGTAAAGCAGTGAAGCAGAGAAACAGTGAAGCAGAGAAACAGTGAATCAGTGAAGCAGAGAAACAGTGAAGCAGTGAAACAGAGAAACAGTGAAGCAGTGAAGCAGAGAAACAGTGAAGCAGAGAAACAGAGAAACAGTGAAGCAGAGAAACAGTGAAGCAGTGAAACAGAGAAACAGTGAAGCAGTGAAACAGTGAAGCAGAGAGACAGTGAAGCAGAGAGACAGTGAAGCAGTGAAACAGTGAAGCAGAGAAACAATGAAGCAGTGAAACAGTGAAGCAGTGAAACAGAGAAACAGTAAAGCAATGAAGCAGTGAAACAGAGAAACAGTGAAGCAGAGAAACAGTGAAGCAGTGAAACAGTGAAGCAGAGAAACAGTGAAGCAGCGAAACAGTGAAGCAGAGAAACAGTAAAGCAGTGAAACAGCGAAGCAGAGAAACAGTGAAGCAGTGAAACAGTGAAGCAGAGAAACAGTAAAGCAGTGAAACAGTGAAGCAGAGAAGCAGAGAAACAGTGAAGCAGTGAAGAAGTGAAGCAGAGAAACAGTGAAGCAGTGAAGCAGTGAAACAGAGAGGCAGTGCACACACTTTAACTGCTCTGCTGTGTTCAGCAGTGAAGAGGCCAAATACACTTCATTACAATTAACCCACTATTTAAAGACCAATTAAAGGGTCAGGTTTCACTGCAATTTCAGTCCATCTGTGTTCAACAGACTAAACTGAATTACCAAGTTTATAAAGACAAACAGAGCTAATATACTTACCAACTCTGTCTGGGATCCCAATGCCAGAGACTTTGGCACACACATCTACTCTCAGACTGAAGGAGAGGGAGAGGGAGAGAGAGGGAGAGAGAGGGAGAGAGAGAGCGAGAGAGAGAGAGAGAGAGAGAGAGAGAGAGAGACATTTTACATGTTTATAAAGTTTTTATAATTGCTCATAAGCATTGTAGGTGCTTCACAAATAGCTGCAGGCCATCTATTTAAAAAGGCATTATAATGAATAGGGACACTTGAGTTACTACATGTTTATAAGTCACCAAAGAATTCATTATAGCTCATTATTAGATCCTTATGAAGCTTTATTAGAGTTTATAAATATGCTTATAAAGCATTGTTGCAAAGTTACAAAGAATTACGAGTGCATTTACATAGGAATTTGCAAGCTGGCCACACTCATGCTTCAGAGATGACCCAATCACTGATACAGTCGCATTTCTGCTTTGACCGCTGTTCTCAACTTCGACATTTGGATGAACAATGTTAGCAGTTTTTCAGTTTCAGACTGAAGCTTCAATCAACTCAATGGACAGGGTGGACTGCTAGTATTAATTATATAACTCGACTCAGTCTGACCTCAAATCAGCCGCCCACTCCACACTCTCTTCTCTCTCCCTCTCCAATTGTCTCCTAATGAAGGCCTGTAATTTGAGCTGCCCACACAATGGCATGAAATTTGCACTTCCTGTGCTGTGGACATGTCCATACTGACTGAAGTCAGGACCCTTTCTGGAATTTAGAAGGCAGTGCTCTCAGAACTCACTTTGAATGCACACCCTGAAGGACTGCAGTGGTCAGTTAAAAGCTATTTCAAACCACTGGTTCGATAGCCATGGATAGCCAGGACACATTTTTATAAAAATCTCATGTAATGCTGGGAACTGTGTGGTCAAAAACCCTTATCATTCACTTTTTTTTTTTTGCACCAGCTTTGCTGTTCCAAAGACTGGACACTTTATTAAAAAACACCCTCCTTTTACCTCCACTGACTGGCCACTTTATTAGAAACACCCACATTGTACCTCCATTGATTGGCCACTTTATTAGAAACACCTACCTTGTACTTCCACTCACTTGCCACTTTATTAGAAACACCCACCTTGTACTTCCACTCACTGGCCACTTTATTAGAAACACCTACCTTGTACTTCCACTCACTGGCCACTTTATTAGAAACACCCATCCTTTCTCTTGCCCTGTTCCATTTAATTGATATTGAATCTATACTTGATTATAAAACAAAGCATTTACTTTTATATTAGAATCTTAGGCCAGGAAATATATTTTGCTTTTGTTTTCAAGTAGTCCTCATCTTTTCTGGTTGACCCATTAGAGCAACTGACACGCTCAAATCGTGCATCAACAGAAACATCAAAAGGCTAAATCTTTTAACCAAGTGACCAGTGAGCGTAACTTTACATGTGAAATCTGAGTTTTTCATTTCTGGTTGTGTCGTACAGTTTCTGGGCAGCGTATCAACAACAATTTCTAAGAACATTTTGAAAGAGCAGTTTGTTTTTACAGTGTGTAAGAACGTTCTGCAACCTGTACCTCTGTGATATTACGTCACATTGCCTCTCTTATACACACACAAGTACTTATCACTGCCAATATCGGTACACCACAGGAAGCCTCCATGAAATCTACATGAGCTGCGTAATTAACTTAGTGGAATGTAAAATTGACTTCACTATGAGAAATTAAAGTCGTTTAATATAGCAGCATTTCATTTCCAAGTGACGGACCTGTCACGAACAACACGCTCACACCCTCAGAAAAACACATTAACATAATTAGAACTCGGTTCTCTTCGAATTCTCTCACACCTCAGCAGCTGCACCTCAGCGTGTGTGTTTCCGAAGTGTGAAAGTTGTGTGAAACTTGCAGTGGTCAGTCCAAAGGTATTTCAAACCACTGGTACGATAGCCAATCATTGGCAAAACAAAGTTAATTTTTGTTGGATCAATTTTTATAAAAGTCTCATGTAAAGCTGGGATCTATGTGGACACCCACTTTGTACCTCCACTCACTGACCACTCTATTAGAAATGCCCACCTGGTACTTCCACTCACTGGCCAATTTATTAGAAATGCTTACCTTGTACTTTCACTCACTGGCCACTTTATTAGAAACATCCACCTTATACTTCCACTCACTGGCCACTTTATTAGAAATGCCCACCTTGCACCTCCACTCACTGTCCACTTTATTAGAAACACCCGCATTGTACTTCCACTCACTGTCCACTTTATTAGAAACATCTACCTTGTACTTCCATTCACTGGCCACTTTATTAGAAACACCCTTCATTTCCCTCCACTCACTGTCCACTTTATTAGAAAGACCCACTTTGTACCTCCGCTTACTGGCCACTTTGTTGGAAACACATACCTAAGTGACGGGACCTGTCACAAACAACACGCTCACCCACCCCCACACCCTCAGAAAACCACAGTAACATAATTAAAACTTCGTTTCCTTCAAATTCTCTCCCACCTCAGCAGCTGCACCTCAGCGTGTGTTTCCGGAGTGTGAAAGTTGTGTGAAACCTCATTTTTAAAATGCCCAAATGACCACACAGTTCTGAATGCATGTAATCGGTAATACCCGAATGGCCCATACACGTACACAAACATCAGCTTTATTGAGTGTGTCTAGGGTTGAGTTACCCATAAACACCTGAGGTTGTGCTTCATACATAAATATGGAATACCCACAAGGCCTTGTCCTGATTGCCATGGAGACCAAGGCTACGACCTCTTCACAATATAGCAGTTTCAACTCATTAAACCTGAGTAAACCTAAAGCTGTTGGCTGGATATTTTTGGTTGGTGGACTATTCTCAGTCCAGCAGTGACACTGAGATGTTTAAAAACTCCAGCAGCACTGCTGTGTCTGATCCACTCAGACCAGCGCAACACACACTAACACACCACCACCACGTCAGTGTCACTGCAGTGCTGAGAATGACCCTGTTGAGGAAAGTGCAAGACCAAATCCAGCCCAGTGTGTTCTGCTATAACCACGGCGACCCTGCCGTGACCCCTCCAGTGGTCTCACACATTTAGTGCACAGCTATGACCAAACACATGTGCTCTGTGCACCATAAGTGTGTGTGTGTACAACACATGTGCGTTTTTAAGGCAGGAAGTGGCCCTACCGAATAACTTAATGATGCTGCTCTGTCAGCCTCGTTAGTAACGTTCTCTCATGACAAGCCTAATTACCAAAGACAACACGCACATATATGGACATACACACACACACAAGTGCCCAGGGGATGACCCGTGACCTTTGCTCTGACCCCAGAACAACTCTTCCTCGCTTGCAGCCCATCTGCCAGCAACAATTACTGCACAGTACTCAGACTATTAGTGGCATTCGGTCTGTATTTGTGCATTATTAATGTCCATCATTCCCAAATACAGCAGTTCAGACAGAATAGCAGAGGCAGCAGGTACAAACCACAGCAGGATAAAATGCAGCATGGACTTATTATGTAGTTTTTAGGTAAAAATAAAATAATCCTGCTTTGCAGTAAAATTAAGCTCTGCTGACAGTTTTAACAATAAATGGTCTTAAACACTGGAGTTAATGTAGAACTGCTGATTCACACTTCAACCCTGAAAGTTGGTGCGCAGACTTCTGGTCACCACAGCAATGCAGACAACAGTCTCACCTAGCTAGTAGCTAACGAAAAGGCAAAGAGAAAGATTTAAGACGATGCATCGATAATTTGGGGATGAATTGACTTATTTGCATTCATAATCACTCCAGCTGGTTTCCTGATACGTTTAATCTGCAACAAGAAACTGCCAAACACTAAAAAGTCACCAAGCTGAAGTCTCTCCTTTGAATTTTCCCGTTCCACCTTAAGTGGTGCAGCAGATACATTCTGGCACCTCTGGCACCATTTAAGGTGGAACGGGAAAATTTGAACAAGAAGCTGGTGAATGAGAAGCGACTTCAGCCTCATAAAAAGTCGAATATTAGGAGACATTTTACATGAAACTGTTCTACTTTTGTGGAAAAGTTTCCTGCCGGAGATGTGAGAAAAGCAGCTATAACTGAGCTAAAGCTTATTTTTATCTTATACTAGTACATCAGCACATACTGAGACATATTTACAGGCAAGATGGTAAAATGGACATAAAATGTTGTGGCTCCCAAGGTGGTTTGATTTTTGCTGAAAGGACAAAATGGCTCTTCTTAACATTTGGGTTGCGACCCCTGATGTAGTTTAACAGGTTCAAGTAAAAAGTGCTTCTGGAGCCATTTTACAGAAACTGCTTTAACCTTAACTTCAGCAAATCTTCAGTAAATCTTTATTTAGGAATTTGTATCTTATCTTACAGAATCTTAAATTAGGAAATTCTAAACTATTCACTCGAAGTTGGCAATCAGATACTATGTTTGTTACCAAGCAGCCAGCGATATGCACACATAAAGCTGAAACACAGAGATTTAATCAAAATAACATTAAAAATGTAAGTTAATTAGCTTGACAGCTACAGTTACTAATGTAAAAGAGGTCTAAACTAAACTGGGATAAACTGGCAGTTAGGAATAGTGCAGTGGCACGCCGTGCCGTTGGTGCTTGCCAAGTTTAAATTTCCCAAAGCTGTCAACTTTCCTCATTATTAACCACCATCACTGTAATATTTTATTTGATGTGTTTTTTTTTTTTTATAAATAATAACATACAAAGGTGATAAAAGGGAACAAGGGAGCAAGCCTGCAGTGCTCGGGATTTTTTTCTAAAAAACTGTTGTTTTATAATGACTACTGTCCTAACTGAAGTAGTCATGGTGACTAAAGCATCATATCTTAAATTCGGAAATCTTTAGCCGGTGTGTGAGCTGCACTAACGTTATTCCTCCTAATAAACAACCACACGTTCAACTGGGTCTGTGGATTATTCACCACCATCGCTGCAATATTTTGTCTGATGAGTTTGCATGAACACTATCAAACAGAGGTAATAAGAGGGGACAGTGGAGATTAAACAAGACAAACACACCAACAGAGACAGGCACAAACACACCCAGACACGTCCACAGTCACACAAACACACCCACAGACACACACACACACACACACACACACACACACACACACACAAAACCATTAACACAAAAGAGAAGACTGGAAAACAGGATCTCTCTCTCTCTCTATCCTCTATCTCTCTCTCTCTCTCTCTATCCTCTATCTCTCCCTCTCTCTCTCTCTATCCTCTCTCTCTCTCTCTCTCTCTCTATCCTCTATCTCTCCCTCTCTCTCTCTCTCCTCTCTCTCCTCTATCCTCTATCTCTCCCTCTCTCTCTCTATCCTCTCTCTCTCTCTCTCTCTATCCTCTCTCTCTCTACCCTCTCTCTCTCTCTCTCTCTATCCTCTCTCTCTCTCTTTCTCTCTATCCTTCTCTCTCTCTCTATCTATCTCTCTCTCCCTCATCCCAGTAGAGGTTGCAGATGTATTTTAATAGGCTACTCTCTTGTTATTACAGAATTCCGCACTTTAGTGCTTTTTGTCTGTCTTCCCAAAACCTCGACCGCTTTGTTTCAGAAGCCAAACCTAACACACACACACACACACACACACACACACACACACACACACACACACACACACACACACACACACATCCCAAGCAGTCAAACACATTAGGTATGTTTACAGTAAGGCCCCCCTCAAAAGTGCCTGTGGGACCAAGAATCTGTCCATACACAGGGGCAAAAACACAGGGCTGTGTGTGTGTGTGTGTGTGTGTGTGTGTGTGTGTGTGTGTGTGTGTGGCTTGGCAGAATGTAAAGAGAATGCGAGTGTTCGACTTCCATAAACCAACAGTCATTTTAGCAGCTGAATCAGAACTGCTGTGTTACTGTTGAAGTACACAACCCACTAAACCCTCCCCACTGCGAGTGGACCCCATTTCACTCAAGCAAATGAAAACAGACAGGCTTACATTAAGGGCCCGAATCATGGCAAATCACATTTTCCTGGCTTGTTTGAAAGTACTATGCAAAAAAAGGGGACTGGAGTCGCACTTGAATCACACGTCGACCGACTTGCAACTCAGACTTGCCCTTAATAGACTCACAACTCGACTCAGACTCTAAACTTTCGTGCCATTCAGCCTGAGAAATGGCATGAGGTAAATAAAACTTTTCGGGTGAGCCTTTGCCTTTCAACACAGCCTTGAGTAACGAGCATTTAAAGTATTTTTGGCTAGAAAACCTTCGATCTGACGGATAAGTGCATTCCTTATAAATAATATTGAAGCAGTAAGCCACAAGAGGCCATGCGTTACTGTGATTTTATCATGTGAAGGGTGTTCAACTCCCTTCCCTGTGGTAAAATCGCAGTACCGCACAGCCTCAAGTGGCTTATTGCTTTTATAAAACAGCGGCCGACATAAAATATGATAAAATATACAATTTTTCTGAACATAATTTAAGTTATAATTAATAATAATCAATATAAACAAGTACCCCATCAAGAATGTAGTTCCTTTAGAGTATGGTATTGTTGCCAAGCAGCCATGGACCACTGAATGAGCAGAACGTTCAGTCACCCATCGCTGTATGTCCTGGTCATTTCATGAACTTTTAAACTTTTTGCCGTATAATAATGAACATCTGATAACAGCACTGTTTAATACAAAAACTTGTACTTTATAAGTTCTTCTTCGTCACCAAATGACAACCGAGTCTCATTCAGCACCAATCCAGTGGCGCCATCTTCTCACCCTGGAGCTGAATCTCAAACAGCTCTCTGCTCCCTACATAGTGCACTACATAGGAGTTTAAATACTGGATCCTGCAGCCAAACAGTTAATAATATAGCTACGAAATAGTCATTTGGGACTCAGACTCATCCACACTCGATAAATGATGCACTATTTGTCTGTAGAGGCTAGAATTTCTAAACCTTCATAGGTAGAACACTATTTAGGGAGGACGGAGCCGTTTGGGATTCAGCCTGGGTTTGGCGTGACTTCTGACTGAAACTGGGACATTTAAAGCATGTAATTCTATTCAAGTGACATTGCTTAGACTTTTATAGTTCACAGTTAATTATACTGTAAGTGCTTTAATTCAAGCCTGTGATATTAATGATGGAGTTGTTTAGGCTCTCGTCTATCTTTTAGCCTGTTAGCTAGCTGACCAGCCTAGTTCTAGTTAAGAACATAAGTTGTCAGCCCCTCAGTTCAAACAAAAAAACAGGTTCTTACTTCATCAGTACACTCGGTGGTCCATGTGAGCAGCATGAGAGTCAAAGATTATTCCATTTACAGCGCAAGCGTTTTTCGTGCTGTGGCGCAGTGATACAGAGTTCAGTTGTTGTGAGGCAGTCATAGGTGTAACGGCTTTGAATGTAGCTCAGCCAATCAGATTTTAGCATTAGTGTAATGCACCTTCCTAAAAGACACCCTTAACAAATTTAGAATGGACCACTGAAAATTTGTGAACATTTTATGAGCAATAAAACCAATAAAAATGCTCGAAAATCACTTGGAATAAAATCTCTTTACATCAACTTACAAGGCAACACTTAACTGTAGGGTGCTGTTCATAAGGCTGCAAACCATCTATATAATACTTAAGGTTGTCATGACAACTGACATAACCCTACATAATAGTTTATAAAAGCTTATTCCAATAGGTGTCATCTGTCATAAAGTCTACCTTCGCTGACTTTGATAAAAAACGGACAATTTAACCTTTATAGCCAATGTTGCGTATTGTAATAAGCATTTATAAACAGTTATGTAGGGTTGTGTGAGTTCTCATGACAACCTTATGTAGCATTATGAAGAGCACCCTACAGTAAAGTGTTAACACTTACAATAAAAAGTATTTTTAAGAGTGTTTTGACTGAAGAAAACAGCAGAAAACTATACGTAATAGTTAGAAGAAATGAGCAGACTTGGGCTTTAAAGGTCACGACTAAAGACCCAAGACTTGGACTTGGACATCTCAGAGACTCGAGACGTGACTCTAAATTGCAAAAAGTGACTTGTGAACATCTCTGGTACTTTGTAAACATTGTTAAAGTTTCAGTCTATTTCAAATTTGTCACATGAACACAGTAACATGTCACTGTCCATTCAGTCTACAGCAGATTAGCTGTCCATTCACATAAATACTAAAGACACCTACCAGGGAACTATAATGTCAGAGTTGGGCATGTGGCAGGACTTGTCCTCCGGGTTGAGGATTTGGGGAGTCAGGAGCAGTTGAGCGTCCACAGTCACCACCGGCCTCGCCCTAGTGACCACATTTACAGATAGTATGTTAACAGCAGAGAGGAGAGAAAAAAAAAACAATATGGGCTTTTTGTGCAATAAAATGTTACCATTCTATCATCATATATATATTATAATGTATTAATATTTAAATATGGTAAACTTGTGTGCTGGTGAAAGCAGAATAAAATATCCAACAGCACAAACAAAAACGTCTCAACTCATGTGCATATATTTAAAAACCATCTTATTATTTTAATAAAGCAAAGGGAAATCTTTTGGTCACTGCACTTGAGGAACTGCGGCTTCCCCTTCAGATGTGCTAATGAGTTAATGCTAACACTAGAGTTAACCAGTGCAGCAGTAGATGGTGACTCGTTGTCTTCTAAAGTTTTTTTTCCTTCCTCAATGGATGATGAGTTAACATATTTAGTTGTCAGAGTAACATGGAGATCCTTGCTACCGCCACATATCCTTGGCAACAAGCCCACGTTAAGGCACTCGTGTATTGTAGTAACAAAGCACAATATATTGATTTAATATTAGATCTTTTTGATTTATTTTAAAGTGTTTCGTTTTATCATGAGTTTAATTTTTTAATAAAAATATAATAATAAAATAGTAGAAATAATCCAGTAAAAAATGCAGTCCCATGTTTTCATGTCATGCCTTATTTTTGCCACACCTCTTCACTTTAGAGCAGGAAGTGAGACTGCATCCCTGTCCCTCATGGCCACATGGTGAGAAGTAAGATCCCATTGTTTTGATATAAATGTGTTCCAAAGTTTGAAAATCAGTGTGGAACATTAAGAATTGTCATTACCGAAACATATTTTCTAAAATTACTAAACTTTTTAGTGTTTTAATGAAAAATATTATGATTTTATGTGTGAACTGTTCAAAGCTGTGTTTGCTAGTCATGAGTTCTGCTCAAAATGAGCTAAAATTCTCATTACCGAAACATCATTATTGAAAATTTGGTAAGCTTTCAGAGATAATATTATCTTTCGCTGGTGACCCAATGGAACGTACACTCATTTATTTTGATGAAGTGAACTTAATTAAGGTACAGGGTCACTCAAAGCAAAAGAAGTTTAGTCTACAGTCCAAGTCTTTGAACCAATTCAGTAGACTGATCCATAAACAGTGTGTTACAGGGTGATGGGGTGTTATGTGAACTGAACTACAGTGTAAAGAGACAGAGATTCTACCGGAATTTCTGTTTCACTGAGTAAATGAATGATACATATGGATTTGAAGAGATTTTCATTGTGTTAAGCAAACAAGGCCTTAGGTAATGCAGTAATGGCTAGAAAAGGTTAAGTGGTGAGAGCGTTGCTGTGGCTAATGTCTGGCTAAGCTCTCTCTCTCTCTCTCTCTCTCTCTCTCTCTCTCTCTCTCTCTGCGGAGGAGGCTAGCACTCAACTGCCGGCTTAGCACTGGTAACGTTAGCTTACACAAACACGCTGGCGCCCATGCCTGCTAATCGTTTTAACACCGACACTGTGACACATCAGGCGTGTGTGTATGAGAGAGAGAGAGAGAGCGAGAGAGTGAGTATGTGAGTGTGTATTTCAGGACATGTTTAATGTTGAATGTGTGTGTTTGAGACTTGGTGGCTTTGTGGAAGGAAGCGAGGGGCTGATTTGAAACGTTTCAGAAAGAAACAGTATCTGAGAGAAACAGCATGTCCTGAAGCCTCAGGGGTCAAAGATTAATCCCAGTTACAGCCTTTCAAATGGCAAAACGCATTTCGGTTAAGGATGGAAAAACCGACTGTCACATACGCAACCATGCAGCACCTTGCGCAGTAACGCTACGCCATTAATCACGTACAGACAGACCTAATCATTTCAGACAACTTAAAATAGTCTGTGGTTTTTAACTCATTTTTATGGAACACTTTCACTAGGCTTGTTACTTGATTTATAATAGTACTCTAATTTAATCAGAAAGCTTTGGTTGGAAACAAAAGGGTTAAAATCTTGAAATGGCCAAATGGAAAATTGTCCAAACAGGACTATATTCTCAGTGGCATCTAGACAGATACATCCAAGTGAGCTCTCCCACTGGCTAGGCCTTCAGAAGCTGAACTACTAACTACTAACAAAATTAGTGTCAGATGAATCAAACCAATTATGTTTTTAATTACAACAGGTGGGACCAATTCCTTGAGAAAAAACAGCATTCTAGGCCTTCTGGAAGTCCTCGAAACATCAGCTTTGTTCACACAGCAGGTAAAAGTGGCCCAAATCCGATCTTTTTCTTCATATGTGAATCAGATGTGTCTGTGTGTCAGTGTGAACAGATAAACACACTGAATCTGACATTTTCAATTCTGATTTGAGACTCTTTCATATGTAGTACTGAAATCTGATACATATCCGATATGCGGCAATAAGCCAGATTGGAATTCATGCGACTTTTGAGTCAATCTATCTCCACATTCTTCATAATTTTGTGCTGCTGAGACTCATAAAAGAAGGCACTCATCGCAACCGCTCCGTGTTTGAAGAGATTTTGAAAGAAATGCCGAACGCGGCCGCAGGAGAACGAGGCTGCAGCGTCAAAGAACAGTTCAAAGTCTGAAAGCAAAGTTTGAAAAATCTGTGACCGCGCCCTTTTTATGGCGAGCTCGAACACATTCTGGGTGATGAGCCCAGCTGTCAGTCAGTGAAGCTTCATGATGGCTCCGGTGATGCTGGTGAAGACGAAGCTGAACCTCTGGGAGTGACTGGCGTTCGTTGGCAGTCGTGATTGTTTACCTCTGGTTGAGCCACATGAGGCAATGTGAAGCACTGTTCTTTTGCGTGTGTGGGTCAGTTTAGGAGCTGATCTGTTCAGACTGATGTCGCATGTAGATCACATTTAAAAGACATTATGAACAGCCAAACAAAGAAATCGGATTTGGTGAGAAAATCAGATTTGGGCCACGTGTACCTGCTGTGTGAACGTAGCCTATGAGTCACTATGAAGCTGCTACATACAAGGTAAATATAAGTTCATGTCCTCATCAAACCTCACATCTCTAGCTCTAAAATGCTAAGTGCATTAGTGTTAGCTTAGTGCTAACACACCATTAGAATCAGAGTAAAAACAGAAATTAGCATTATCGTCGAGGTGTTTTTTCTCATTGAAGACCTGAACTGAAGGCCTAGCTCTAGTAGTCATGGTAGTCTGATAGTCTGATCACTGAAAAACAAGTCCATGTCCATCTGAGACCCTTTCTACTGGAAAACAGTTCAAGCCTGCTAAGCTGCTCACACTGATGAGAGGAACATGTGGAGGTGTTTGTGTAATAATGGTGTGTATGTGCGATTGAGAGAGAGAGGGAAGGAATGTGTGTATGAACCTGATGGCATCCGACTACGCTACATGCTTTGTTTAACTTTGGTCAGATAGGAATGCTGTGGTTTGTGTGTGTGTGTGTGTGAGTGTGTGTGTGTGTGTGCGTGTGTATCTTACCTGTACACCACCACTTTGCCTGCTCCAAAGGCACCAACAATCAAATCTACAAAAGAGAGAGAGAAAGAAAGAGAGAGAGACTGAGAAATGATATAGAGAGATAGCAGTACAGACTAGATGCAAAGGTGATGCCGTGACTGGGGTGCTATTAAAGGCTTATTCATTGCTTTTTCATGCACAGTTTTAAAGGGGTTGCCAGAGGGGCCAGAGCCCAGCCTGCAATCTACTTGCCCACCCCAGATGCCCAACATCTGTCCAATCACCAAACATTCATTTAAACATTCGACATCCGGCCAAAACTCACTGTGACCCCTGTGCAGACCCCTCGCCACTGTCTTTTTGTAATACTGAATCGTATCAATTAAGGAGGGTTGAATTTGCTCCCACTTGGTTGTTGCCCACCAAACACCACCGAAACAAAGGCTACGTTCACATTACAAGCCTCATTGCTCAAATCCGATTTTTTCCTCAAATCCGATCTCTCTGACCCGATGGTCCACACTCGTTTAGGTAAGTGATTCAAATCTGTCATTAATGTGACGAACCGGCGTCCTGAAATGACCCTCATGAGCTCATCCTACTCAGTAACGTCACGTGAATGAATCACGTTCATCATCAGCACAAACTAACGAGCAGAACGAGCTTCGCTGAGAAGATCATTAACTCTGATCAGCTCTCAGCTTCATTATTAGAGCGAGACGAAGGAGAAAAAGGTGAGATGTGTTGCTTTTCCTCCATTTACAGGCTTTAACTTCTGTTCGGCGCTGCTGCCATGGTAACGCTGAATGATGGCGCAGTGGAAAGAAAAAGCACATGAATTCCGTTTGAGCGTCACATTAAATGTGACCACATGGCCACGAATCGGATACGTATCTGATCTAGCACCACATATGAAAGTGGCTCAGGTCGGATTTGAAAAGATCAGATTTACTTCCACACAGCCCTGAAAACATCAGATCTGAGTCACATTAGGGCAAAAAATGGTAATGTGAACGTAGCCACAGAGTTCTAAGAGTAGTGCCAAACACGCTACATTAACACTTATTCAAAAAAACTTTTCCTATCATTTTTTTGCATTGCTCCTTTATTGAAAACCCACCTTTTCCACTTTATCTGTAAAGAGTAAAAACCTTTGTGATATTCAGGCTTTTTTTTTGAATTTCCAGAATTTTTTATGTAAATTTTCAAATTTGTGTAAAAAGGTGGATGAAAAACCCTGAAGGCTTAAATGAGTGATTTTTTTTATGCATAGAATTAGCACATACATTAAAATAGTTAACTAGCACAAATGCTAATGGCATTAGGACATTAAGGACATTGTAAATCAATGTCTCAGGCATTAGTCAGCAGACTTGTAACCACTTCATCTCATAGCTGTCTGTGATGTAGCGTTTAGTGGCGTTAAACACTTCAGACGTCTGGTTCCCATCACCACCTCTGTGAGCAATTCTGATTCAGAATGGAGTATTTCACATCATTTAATAATGCAAAATGTTTTAAAAACATCAGAATTCCCTTTTATGTGTTTAAATGTATATCTTTTAATGATACTTTACTTTCAATCTGTAATTTGGGCTACATGTTGTGCTTTAAAAGGGAGCTTGTCAGTCACATTTCACAATATCATTAAAAATAAAGAAAAAGAATGAGAATGTTTACTTTTCCTCTTCTCATGATCTTTAGGAAATCTGGAAAATGTGACTATTGTAGATATTTCATAGGGTTAAATGTGTGCAGGTAACAAGGCTGAGTAAACTAAAACGTACATTGTTCATAACTTATAAGGGATGACTCATGAAATTGACTCATGACAACCTGTAAGGGATGAAAATGATATTTTTAAGCATGACATATTAGATGGATTCACACATTAATGCCAGACTAATCAGATTATTTTAAGCATTTTAATGCACACATTTTAAGTGTAGTTTTAAGTGTAGCTGTGGGCCGGGATGGCCAAAAACACCAGTTTCTAATTGCAATAGGTTTTATTAATGCTTAAAGTTATTTATCTGAAAATTGCACACAGGTTGTTGTAAAAGACTCTTTCTCTCAATGAAAAATGCCTCTACCTTTAGATCACACATCACTGCTGTCAGAAGAAACCTTGTATCTCCATTTTTGATGTTTTCAGTTTTTGGCATAATTTGAAAATACCAGTTTCCCTCTACATCGTGTGTAAATTTCATGAAGAATGGACCAACAGAAACGGCTCAAAATGACTTGGAACAAATTCTGGTTCCATTGACTTACATTAAAAGTAAAGCAGGTTTTTTCCTTTTCCTGGAAAGTTACCATTTTGGGGATACAAGGTTTTTTTCTGACAACAGCGATATATATTTGTAAATGTAAGAGGGACGCACAATGGTTCCCCAATAGTGGAATCATAAGTATGTGCTTGGGGAAGTGTGTGTGTGTGTGTGTGTGTGTGTAAGAGAGAGAGGGGACAGTGTGTCAGCTTCAAAGCATGCCGCAGCTGGGAGTGATTTGAGGGACTCCAGCAGTCTCTACCCCACAGACGTCTCACGTTTTACTGACCTTAGACCAGCACGAACAGTGAGACCAACAAGCTATAAATATCTCCCAGACCCACCGACTCAGATCAGAACCAAACAGAACCAAACACAATCAAGCAGTCTCCCAGGAGAGTCCTGCGCAAGATTTTTTGACCAAAACACAACAGATGAGTGTGTCTAAAGCCAAACGTACACTGTGAGATTTTAGAAATCTTGTTCTTCGGTGACTCACACTGTACGTTTCAATCGTCCATCGTGTTCGGCCAAAGCCTGCGATTTATATACTCACTGTATGAAAACACTCGGTCCGACTGACATGACGCGACATGGGTGCTCACACTGCACGTGAAACGCAGCCCCTACAGACGCTCAGTCTACAATAAAGCTGATTCATTCAGAACAACACGCTGCGCCTCCGAGTCCCTCCGAGTCCCTCCGAGACACTGGCTGACTCTCAGACGGCTCCCTGCTCCCTACATAGTGCACCACATCTTAAAATAGTGGCTCCTGCACCCATAAAGTGCATCACATGTCTGATAAATAGCCTTCTGAGGTTCAGCCATGTGTGCACAGTTCCATACTGGACAAACAGTGCACTGTTTTGGTGTAGAAGCCAGATTCAGCCATTGATAAACTGCTACAGCAGATTTGCTAACTGGTGCCACACTGTGCACTGAAGCTGAAGAGCAGGCCGTCTACAGACAGACAGCTCTACACAGACAAAAAACACTATTTATTTATACCTCGCAGTTCAACTCAGTCAAACGGAGTGAAGTCGGCTTACGCAGACGCTGGTGCTGCAGATATGGACTTTTCTGCCTCTGTGCAGGAGCCGTGGCTGTGACTGTGTGTGGTTTTGGGTGTGACTTTGAGAAATCGGTTCGTGTGGCTGCTCACCCCGTGAGACGAGCGACCACGACTTTCTCACGTCAGAAATCCATCCGATCGTCCGACTGCTCAATCAGAGCTCGTTTGGGTAGTTAATTGAGCATCGTTTCCCCTCTCTCACTGCACGGCAAAGGACAGCTGATGAAGCTGAAATTCGTCCCGATGATGAAATTCAGTCGGCTTCGTCCAAATTGGGCTTAAAACCGGCGAAAATCGCACAGTGTGTGTCTGGCTTAACAGAATGTCAGAAAAACTGCATGCTTGAAAGAACAAGAGGGGTCACCACATACGTAGCACATCGTGTTGTATTGTATGGTGAATATATACAGTGAATACAGTGAAGTGCACTGTGTAGGTGGCGACGTAACTTTTGATGTTTCAATGCGACATAAAAGAAGAAATCCTTTTTCACAAAGACAGCATCGCTGTAACAGGGCAATGTGAGGGGACAGTTTAGAAGGCATAATGGTTCAATTAGTCAATTAATTGAGTAACAGTTGATTCGGCAGTCATAGGTGCAGCTCTGTATTACAATGCATGTCAACATAATGCACTGCATCGCCACACATTGTGTTGTACTGCATGTTATTATATTGCACTGCATCTTTCTGTATTGGATTGCATTCTATTGTGCTGCATTGCATTTTACTGCACTGAATACTATTGTATGACAAGGCTTTGTATTGGATTGCAAAGTAATATATTTTCCATATATTTTGTTATAGAAACATATATTTGACCAACCTTACTGGGCCAGTAGGACTTTTAATTAAATTCTTGAAATTTAATTTAATTTCATTCTTGATATGAAGAATTGAATTTTTACTAGTGAGAATCAAATTCTTGATGAATTTTTCACTGGTGAAATTGAAATTTTTGATATGAAGAATTTAAATCTTACTAGCAAAAATCGAATTTTAGAACTAATAGAATTGTATTTTTTTAAAGGTAAAAGTACAATTTTTAGTAAAAAGTAAAAATCAAATGCGTAGTTTGTATTTTTACTAATAAAATTTTATTTTTGATATTGAGAATTACATTTCTACATGTGAAAATGTAATTTTCACTTACTAGTAAAATGTTTCCCCCATTAAAATGAATGGAGAAACTCAAGAATTATCACTAGTAAAAATACAATTTTGACCAGTAAGAATTACATATTCACTAGTGGAAAATACATTTTCACGTGTAAATTGAATTCCTGATATTAAGAAAAAAAATGATTTAAAGCTAAACGGCTTGCCATAAATAAACTGCATAACGTCTTTAAATAGCACAAACAAGTGGCGCAACAATACAGGCCTGAAAACATGTACTTTCAAACACACACACTGCATTCCCTCCCCACCTTATTGGACGCTCTCCTCTTTTCTCCTACTGGCAGCTGTTTTAGCCATAACCGTCAGTCATCTCTGCAGACACTCAATCTCTGACATTTTATAAAATGACTATTTACCCAACTGAACCAACATTAAACATGATTATATATTGACTTATGACGACCCACAGTAACCACTCAGACCACATTACAGCCATATCAGAATGAGAGATGATCAATCATAATTTGCATCTGCAATTAATTACACTTTGTGCTGTTTCTCAGTCCTGTAGAAAGAGTTAAAAACAGCAGGACCACCATCTG